ATCTAGGATCTGTATACTTCTGCGGAACGTTAGGGGCTGGATGTAGACTTCACTGTTTTGTTGTGTGTGGTGACAGTTCCAGGTCCTGGTGGTTGTGACGCAACTACAGCCACAAGTTTGTAATAACATGCTAAAGTTTGAGGTTTTTTGCTTGACTGATGCACTGTTTCCTAATGTAACCTTACTTGAAGCCTTTTGCCAGTAGGTAACCTGCTGTGGGATTATATGGGTCTCTTATGTACATTTTTGGTCTGATATTTCCTTTGGAATATCAGTCCTTTTTTTATTTTAATTTCTGTTTTACTGCACTAGAATTTTAGTGTTACACAGTAAGCTGCAGTTACAGTTTATCTCTACAGTGGGAACCTTCAAAATGTGACAGATAATTGGAAAATACTAAGAATGTTTTACACAGCAATTTATCCTACAATAGTTTCCACTGAAAATTTTTTGACTGCTTTTGCAACTGTCTTAAAGTTATTGTAATATAAGCACAGAGCATGTCTGGGTCAGTTGATAGGAATAACTACAAACACTTTTTGAGTACTATAAGTTTAATCTTTAGAGTTGCGTATTTGGACTTTGCCTTGAACAAAAATGCATACAATGTGTCAATGTGTCAAAAGATGTCTGACATCTATTCTGAATACGTATAATAGAATCCTTTTAGATAGAGTCTAAGTGGTTTTAGATTGTTCTCCCTTTCTCTACACATAATGCATTTCAATATAGATTAATTTGTTTGGTTTACCTTTGGTATTATACAACTAAAAGTTTTGGCACTAGATGGCAGTCATAGTCTTACAGCTTTGATTAGATTTTTAAAGAATTTTAATATTGGCTTAATTCTTCAGTGCAATCTTCATAGCATCTGCTAAGTTTAGTGCCAGAAGTGACACTGCATAAGAATGCTTAACTGTTATATGACTTTATTAAAGTTTGGGATTTTTTTCTGTTTTTTTAAATAGCCTGAGGAGGCTCCTTCGCTTGCTGTTTCTACTGAGCCATCTGTAATTGTATCAGAAAGTGATTCTGGCAAGATCACTTCCCAAGTGCCACAGATGCTGCAAGAGACAGATGTTTCTATTCCCAATATTAAGCAAAACAGTGTGCCTCCTCCACAGAGTAAGTATCTCAGTACAGTAAGTATCTTTGTTCGTCGTGATTCAGGATATAGTTTCCTCCCATAAGCATTCTGCCTACATATGCTTTAACCATGTAATTTGGGTGTAAAGTCAAGTATTTGGTATTTTGTTTATATATCTTGCTACAGTTTAACTTCAGTAGAAGTAGTTTGGCAAATGTCCTTTCACTGTGGGGAAAACTGGCTTCATATGCTTGAATGACTGTGAGAATGTCTATTGGGCTTGTGCAGTCCTTACCAGACACTTGGACATACTCTTCGCCATCAGGAGTGGAGTTCCATGCTGTGACTAAGTAGTTATGCCAACGTGATTTTAAAGGCCTGTTTGCAAGTCTTTAGTGGAACAGATGGGTGCTAACATATCAGTTGACAGGATGTATGTCTAGCAACCAGGAATTTGGAAAAATATGAGGAATTGAATTTTCTATCTACTGATTTTTGGCTTCTGAACTTAGCTCATTAACATCTTCCCCTCCCTCCTCTTATCCGATGCTTCTGTGAAATGTGGTAGTCATGGAGGAAAGTCCATGCTAATTGGCTCATTTGGTAGTAGCAAGGTGCTGGCCGATGCACTCAAGCTGAACTACTGAAAATTTCTTGCTTTTTAAAATTAGGATGTACCCAGAGGTCTCAAACATGTCCTCTGTTGCAGTCAGCAAAGATACTTGTACCATAGTACTCAACTGATGCTACAGTAAGACAATATAAGGAATGTCAGGGTATGAAAGCTTTAAAAACAAATAAACCAAGCACAACCTCCACCACCACGCCACTGTTTAGCTTCAGTTAGACTTTTTAATACTGACATTTCATTAAATGTCCCTGGAGAAACGCTGAAGTACTAAACTTGTTTTTAATAACAGCAGAAGAAACCGGATGATTTCATAATATTAACCTCACTCAATAACATTAATTGGGCGGCTTGATTCTGAAGAAGTTAAAAACTGAAACAGCAGAAAATCTTTCAAGTCAGTGTCTCTGAATTTACTGCTTTTATTCGGGTTCTAAAATGTGAAGGTTTTTGACAAATTCATGTGTCAACAAGAAAAAGAACATCTTTTATGTTCAACATGTATTACATTTTACCTGCCTTACCATTTTTGGTAGTTGGCATGTTTTAAGGTAATCTTTTCTTAATAAAATAACAGTGCTGCTTTATTCAATTCTGGGTTCCACATAACCACATATTTACCTAATTCCCAATTGTAAAAAATTAATCTTCTGACATACAAGGGTCACTTACATTTAGTGATTAAAAATGGTGTAATATGATCAAAGTGAACAATTAATGTGCATTGTTTACATGTAGATTGTTTCCAGTTAGTCAAAAATAACAACAACCTTACCATAAGTCTTATATTAAGTAAGAAAATGACTTAACCTTCATTGTGTCTCACTTCTTTTCTTTGTGGTGTAAAGGCAGAGTTTGAAATTAGCAAACAAACTTTTGTTTTAGCTACATTTTAAATTATTCTATTTGGGGTAAGAAGGTAAAAAATACTCTCCTTTTAAAAAATCATACTAGTTGATATTTCTGAATAGCTTCGTAATACGGGATGTGCTCTTCAGTATTTTATATGTCAATTCTATGTAAACTTTCTCAGTCATAATGCTGTACTTACATTTTGTTTGTTTACCCTTTTTAGCAAAGTCTGAAGAAAGCTGGGAATCCCCCAAACAAGTTAAAAAGAAGAAAAAAGCAAGAAGGGAAACGTGAATTTCCTGAAATGGACTTGTGTTGCTGAATACTGTCATGAAGATCATGCTGTTTATGCAATAATTTGTGAACATGTACAGAATTTTATATAAATTTCAACCAATTTTTAAAAACAGAACTGCTGTGAACACAAACATCTTTAAAAAGGAATCAAAGGAAAGTAACTTTATGATATAGAAAACGGAACATGCTACATTTGAAAGACATTCTGAAGAGTCTGTTTTTCCAACTTATGGAGAGAGATGTTAATTAAAACCTGGTTTTACAACACAGTGCCCTGTTTACAACAGATTATACTCTCATCTACAGCTGCGGATAAATGATTAATTTTAAGGAAGGGTTTTCTGTAAAATAATTGTCTGTACAATAGTGAGTGTTTCTTGCCTCTCTTCTGAGTGATGCATTAGAAGCACAGAATGTCTACCATTCAAATTTGTTTCATGCCTAAATCAAAGTGCTTTGATTAAATACGTAATCTGCCATATCTTTACGGTAAGTTGGTTAGCAAGTCTGCTAGCTATTAAAGGAATCACAAGTGCAAATCATTAATCATTTGTACAGTCGAACCTTTATGGTTTATTATATGAAGTTAACACAATAAAACTGCTTTGGGTTAAAAGTTTGAGAATGTGATTTGAAACTTGAGTATGGTTCATGAAGTTATTTTTGATAATGTCTATTACCTTACTTGAATTGTTGAAAATAACAGTATATTTTTAAGAATGCAGTAATGTGCATAAAATTAGTTTTTCCCGCTTCATTCCTTACAGGTCTTGGTTGATTCAGACTGCTATCTAAAAGTGTATCCCTTTAACTTTTAAACACATGGAATGAATTTAAATCAAATGTTCCCTTCCCTTAACATGTATTAATTTACTACACGCAATTCTATTCTGTTCTCTATTACTGAAACTCCGAAGAAAGCAAGGTGAACTGTTTTCACTCACAAATTATATGGGAATTCAAAAACTTGTTGGAGAATTGGAGTGGCTTCAGACAGCTTTAATTGACATTGTCTAGACCAGTTATCAGGAACACGTTTTTTACTGCCTTAACCTGTAGTATGTAGAGGGCGTCTAGACTTCTGGACAGAAGTTAGTGTTTTTATAAAAAAAAAAAAAGAAAAGAAAAAGAAAAAGGGAAAAAAAAAAAAAGAAGCAAACATTCATGCAAGTATAGCAGTTGTAAAATAAAGAACATTTCCCGCTTAAAACTGTTGATTGAAATGGTGTTTTAAGATGTGTTGTCATTTTCAGGCGCTCTGTATTTACATGGTATCAAACTGGCAGGTGCGTTTCTATCTATATGGTGCATGCTCAGCCATGTACACTGTAAATAGCCTTTACAAAAAATTGTTTGATAAGGATGGTAGTTAACATCACCTGTTGAATTCTGTTAAAGAAGAGCCATGATTTTTTTTTAATGGTTGGCTTTTGGTTTTGTGGCACAAACGGGATTGTTAACAACTGTAACACATGGTACTGTAGATCAAAAATCTTTTACTGTCTTACTGTACTTGACTGCAGTTCAACAGTATTGCAAGGCGAGAATATTTAATGAAACAAGCTGGGTTTAATTGTACTGAAAATGCACCTTGCTAATGGAGAGCTTTCATAATGGATACTAACTTGCACAGGTATTAACCCCTGTATATCAGCAATATGCTTACATGTTCAGAAGTTTTGTTTAATTCAGTGATACTCTAAATCGACTTGTTAAAATAAACTGAGCATATTGACAGTATTGATTTATTTACTTGGGAGGGATTAACGCCTAAGATTGAAACCTGTAAACTAAATTTAGAACTGAAGAACAGTTCAACAGAACAGAGCAAGGAGTATTAAATGCAAACACAAATTGAATATTAAAATCATGTAGAGTCCTCTGCTTGTAAATAATACATTCATTTTATTTACTTATCTCTTTCTTTGTAAAGGTAAAAAGAATAGCCTTTGAATTCAGGTTTGCAATGTACGTCCAAAATGTCTGTTTCCAATCTGTCTGTTGTGCTACGAGCCTCTTGTAGAAAACATGAAGATCTTAAGTATGAAAGACTGCCCTCAAGAGCTTTCACTGCATAAGCATTTTTTTTCTGTCTCTTGAAGATAAACTCGGTGATAGTAATTGATTAGTAAGCTCTAACTCTTGAATAGCTTGTCATTCTGAGTAAAAATTAGCTAACAACATAGGAAACCTGCTAATAACTGTTACTTCTAGGCAGCAGCATATAAATGCATAGCCTTCCTTTCAAAATGTTGTTCCCTATTTAGCAGCACCTATTCCTGTTTTTTTTCTTAATGTGCAGCTTCAATGTCTTAGCTAAATTTGCTTTATTTGACATTCATTAAAGAGGTAGTAACTATATAGCATATTGTCTATAAATAGAAATTTGGTTATCTATGTGTTGTCATGTTTCTATGACTAAAGCAGTGGTTAGTCTTAATGATACACTCAATCCAGACTTTGGTACTTGCATAGAAAGAGAAAACACCATTTAAAGAAACCTACAATTAAAAAAAATTCTATTTGTTCAGTGCATGGAGTGGTTTCATAAATCCAGTATACTGGGTTTTTTAAATACTCTGAAATGATTTGTATGCGTAATTTAAACTTGTTGTGATGATGTGTATTTGGATAGTCATGGCATATTTTTATTTCTTTATGGGGAGGGAGAGGTGTACAGAATTCATATGTGCTTGTTAAAAAGTTAACCTGTGCATTGGTTTGGAGGGGGATGAAAACTGTAAATCTGATCTCCTTTTAGAAATCTAAAGGGAGAGTGCAAGAGAAAAGCACTACTTTAATATTAACCAAGAAAGAATGTACATATTAAAAACATTTCAAACTTTATAGAAATACAACTAGTATTGTTGTGTTTGTAACTGAATTGTATCTCACTGGAAACTGCTTTATTAATGGTTTCCTAACCATGGGATTAGCCTGCGAAATAAGGCTTTGGACGAGTGCAGATGACATGAGAATGCATGATTTTAAGCAGCCTTCCAGATGTTATTAATCATAATTGTTTTGCCTTTAAATGAGTTGAGTAGGCCTCTGGTCAAGTCTTGCAACTTTTAACAACTGAAGTCTTTTCCAGCTGTTTATACCTGTGAGTTTCCTTTTGGTGAACCATGTGTACCGCCGTAGTACAGAATTTCTGTTTTCCAGACTGATACTGAAAGAATCCTGCATTACTGTATTGGAAAAGTTTGAAGGAAAAGACTTCAAACTGGAACTCGGTTTAAAATATAATGTTAAATATTTTAATGTTGGAATTATAAGTGGGTTGCTGCAGATAAGAACTAAGGGCATCACCTAAGGGTTGAGTGAATTTGGGGAGGGGAGGGAAAAAAAGGACCAGAAAGGGTTCTATGGCCAATAGTTCTTAACCTGAAAATAGTATGGCATTGCCATGTGTCTTGCTCCCTACAGGATTAAAATTGTTGCTAGTTGGGGTGTGGGAGAATTCTCATTTTGTCGGATGGGAGAGGGTATTGTTTCATAGTATTTCCTCAGCCATTCTTATTTATATAGCTAGCAAGCTAAATCACTTGCAGATATAGCCCAAATCATGAAGCTCTGGATAGGCGATAACTCCCCTTTGATATGATACTCCAACTTGGACTTGCTCACTGTTTTGTATAGCCACACTTTAAACTGTCTTTTGCAGGGTTGTCTTGTGGTGTTAAACCAGAGATTAACTACTTTCCAAGCCCTAGCCAGTTAGCTAAAAGAATAGGAGCTGTATCAACTGATGGTCTATCTGCTGTTGAGGGACTGAGAGGCTAGATGTATATCCAAAAGAGAGATGCATAAACTGTGCTTTTGCTCTCGAAAGTCTCTGAAAGCATTATGAAAGCCTAGGCAACTTTCCATTTTCACCTTCATACATACGCAGATATTGTACTTGAAAAATATCTGTAGTCATATGCCTAAAGTTACTGCAGAGCAGGTTTTCTCCGGGAGGTGCCTTTGCCGGAATTTCAAATCTGAGCCAAATTTAGTTCTCATTTGATTACACTCTGCTCAGATACGTAACCAGTTTAATGGCCCCATTGGGTTTGTAATCTGTGGATATTAGAAACAATATTACTGTTCTGATAACCGCCAGCAGAGTTCAGACACTTCTAAATGTTTTATATTACAGAAGAACATAATCCATGAGTATTTTCTATTCTGATACTGAATTTGAACTAGTTTTTTCACTAAAACAAAGGATGTAGTCTTGGCCCGAATGAGTTTTGCTGCTGGCACGTTAAGACCAGGAAGCTACCTAAGGTGCCTATTTCAAGTGAAATGTTGCAAGTCAAAAGGTTATCCTAGCATTCATGTTTCGTTCAACTCCTGAACTATTTTATTCCAGTTTTGTGTCTTAGTTGCCTAAGTATTTAGCCTGGTTAGAATGTTGGAGTTGAAATTTCAAGTTCTTTGAAAATTCTTTAGCTAATTTTTTTCCTTGTTGCCTGTGAACGTGTTCTAAACAGCCACTTGAAGAATAATCAAAATCTGAGATTTAATCTTCTGTTCCTTTCTAAACTTTTACGGTGACATTGTACTCTCTTTTAGAACAACTTTCTCCCATGTGCTTCACCAACAGTGCCAGTCACCCCTGTCTACACCTGTGCTGCTTTCTTGGAGTCTCCTGCAGAAAGTGTCAGTGTAGCTGTTAAATAAAGCTAAGGTTAGGAAGATAGTTCAACAATGCTCTCTTACTTGAGTTGGGTGCTCGGTACTTCTTCTGTGACTGTAATCATTTGTAAATCATGTCTGTGGTTTGTATAGAGTAGGAATAAGGTTGGTCTCACTCCAAGTACAAGACTTTGGCAGATGTCTTTAACATGACTCTCCCTTACCCCTGCCCCCACCCCAAGGTAGATCTATTCCCTTTTTTGTTATTACATTTATGTCTGGATGATTTCTTAACTTCCTAAAATTTTCATCAGAGACTTGAAATATATATATTTTTTCCCTTCTCACTGGAATTCTTTGTTGCAGATTCCAGGCATATAGGTTCAAAGATCTGTCTGCTCTGAAGTAATGTGGTAATTAGGAAAAAATTGACTTCTAATAAGCAAGAGAGAACTTCCTGAGATTCAACTTAAGGATTTAACAATTTTGAATATAGTTTGCAATCATCACAAAATTGAACTGTGGGTTTTTTATTCTAATGACCTTGCACAATGTACACCTATGAAAAGATGTGAAAATCTTGTCCAAAATTCTGTATTATTGCTGTTACCTCACTTAAGTGTTGCATATAGATCATGTGATATAAAAAGGAAATCTTACCTGGTACACTCTACCTGAGTTATTTAAAATATATGCATATATATATATGCTTACCTTTGAGATTGCTGCCATTCATGTACAGAAAGGGAATGTGTAGGCAGTATGTCTGGACAGCTGTGCTACTGCTAGTAATGGAGCAGCAGAGAACAGAACTGAGCAAGGTCTACAAATTCTGCTTGAAAAGCTGGTAAGAGGAGGCTGTCAGCCAGCATTCGGCATCATACTGCATGCCACTGCTCACATGGGATTTTTTGGAAGTGGACTCGTCTGTTTTCTCTAGGCTGACACTGGGGTTTAAGGTCCCTCTATTTTCATCTTGTCTCTTCTGTGCCGTAAAAGGGGTAAGGCTAAGGATCTTGTACCTTGGCTTCGGTTAGCCTATTTGCATGAATGAGAGGAAAGATATCTAAGTGCTTTCTGGAGTGGTGTCAGAATGCTCAGCACTTGGCAGAACTGAGCTTGAAAATCAATACTGTGGTATTTTATGTTTGTGTCCTTTAGAGGTTCTGTTCAAAGTCACTCACATCATGCCATCTAACTGTTAACAGTGGATTTCTTTCTAGTGTTTTAGGTGTGTTTCTTTACTGCAACTTATTAGTAGACATGCAGAATAGCAAACTTAGCTACTGGTTTTTTGCAATGATTAAAACACTTAACGCTTGTACTACCTCAAATATAGACAATACTTTGTAGACTCTAACAGGGATCTGTAATTGAAGGCTTCCAAAGTCTGGAATATCCATGACTGAAAGGAACAAGTTTTTCATACATAATGATTACCATGTGTTTGGGATTTCAGTAGCTAAATCATCTGAATACTAGGCTATGGGGAAATTGGGGTCAGAAGTAGTGTGTCATATCAGAAAGCAGTTTTTTGCCTGTTCACTTCCAGGTAGCATGTTTATCATGCAGTATAATGATTAACGTATGAAATTTGCAGGTGTTTCACTTTGTATTAACAATTCTGTCATTAAAAATCCTGATTTTATGCTAGTACGCTGCTGGCATACATGATTCTGTCCTGCCAGAGAACATCTTACTGGAACAGATTTTGTTTTCTAGGTAGTTAATATAATACTAACGTTTCTCGAGAGCATCATGTCGTGCTTCCTTCACATAGTGTTTCACCGCTACTTCGTCTTGCTGCTGTATTGAGAACAAGACAAATTTTGAAGCTTGAACTCTAACCTCTTTAGACTTGATCATTCCAAATATTTCATGAGCAGTCCACTTTGAAGACTATGCTTTGGCAGGTTAACTGGAGGACGAGTACCTAGCTACAAGTCACGTCCTTTATTTCTGGCAAACTAGTGGCACAGCACTGTTCCAAGTGAAATGAGTACTATTATTAGTGAATACCGATGTGAGCTGGGAGATCTCTCTAGTGTGGGCTCAACTGGTATTTCCCAAAGCTGCTTGAGACTATAATCAAACATGTTCAGGTATTTGATGCA